ATAGGCACACACCCAAAGCTGTTGCACGACAGGTAGAGCGTGTGCATCGGTTCCACCTGCTGTAGTGCGCTGTGTATGCTCCTTATGCCTGGGCTGTTTGCACCTCCCTGTATTCCCAGTGCTTAGATTGTGCCTGGCCCTGTAAGAGGGACATTTGCTGAAGCAGTGCTGTCCTGTGTGTTCCCTCTAGGCTGATTATGGGGAAGGACAGACTCTGACCTCTAGGAGGATCAGATGCTTAATACACGATTAAATGATTCATGCTGCCGCCTCTGAGCTTGGTGCCCAGCCTTGGGTTCTCAGAGCCAGCCACAGGGATGGCTTCCTGGGAGGAGATCTTGAACTAGATTTGGGTGCAGTGCAAGGGTAGATGATGGGGGAGGCTGGTGGGTCATTAAGCAGCCGCGATTGTCTTAGAAGCTAGAGCTTGCAGTTTATATATAGGCTAAGCTGATGTCACCCTCCTTTTCCTAAGGAGGGGTAATCTTGGACTCCAGAGACCAGAGATGCTATCATTCAACCCAGATTAGGGGGTCTTGCATCCATGATGAGGTCAGCCACCAGTAGCCCGAGCTATTGCATAACCACATCCTTCCCTGAGGTCACGGCCTTCAAGACAAACACCCCTGAAGTAACTCGGCAGCCGTGACTAGGGCTGCAGCGTTAGAGAGAAGAAAGGTCATATCTGAGAAATTTGTAAGGACCAGACTTGGTTTTGAAACACACAAGTTCTTGTGTTGAGTGAATGTGTTTATCATGAAGTTCAGCTCTCGCTGGTAAGAGATGAAGACAGACCCAAGCCTGGGGTGGGGGTCACGGGGTAAGGTTTATGAACACAGGAGCCAGGCCAGGCTGACTTCTTATGAATGTGTGGTGCCTCCCTACTGACTGCAGAGTGTGAATGCCACCTCCTCCTGGGTGTGACCTCTGGGGCAATGAAGATAGTCTCCTGCCTGGGGCTGGACAATCCTGTGTAAGCAGAGTAGTCCTGATCTCTGGGGCCATAGAGTAAGTGCATTGGGATGTTGTTGTTTTTGTTGTTGTTTTAAGGGCTGGTGGAACCGGCAAGTCATCTAAATCCAAAGTACAAATTTTCAGTTTAATTTTAACTTGTAGTTCACTCACACTCAGGACTTGGCAAGGGAAGTGGGCCTTTATTCTATTTTTTTTAATTTTTTTTTTAAAGCGCAGCACTCCTTGGATACAAAAGGGATGTTCTCACATGGTAATGGCTGAAGAGGCTGCCAAGGACAGAGGAAGTGGGTTAGAAATGATAACAGTTGCAGGGCGAGTCCCCTCGGTTGCAGGCCTTGGGAGACAGGCATGGAGGACAGTCAGAAGACTCACACGGGGACTATGGCTAGAGTTTTCCACTCTGTCCAGTTTGAGCCACTTCTTGGCCTGCAAGGCTTGGGCTTTCTACACAGTCCTGAAACCTTTGGGTTTATTCCCTCGCCCCTCCTAAACAGTGCAGGACACCCCTACTCACTCTTGGGAGAAAAGCAAAGGAGACTGGGAAAGGCTACCTCAGACTTTCCCAGAAGGAGAGGAAACAGCCCCATACCTCGTTGGAGGAGGAGTGCATAGCCCCCTGAGCCAGGCCAGATTGAGCTCTGCACCTTGGTGGCTGAGGAGGTGGATGTGATGCCCACCTAGCTGGTGAGACAGAAAAGGACTGAAGGGAAGCCATTACAGCCATGGGGGCCTATGGAGTTGAGTGACATCTGGGCAGGCACACCTGTGCCTCGGAATGTCAGAGATGCTTCAGGGACCGCCACATTGAGTCGCCAGCATTGACCACTTTGCTCAGGCAGCCAGCCACCTGCTGGGCCTGCATTTCAGGCTAAGTATTTCTTTTTCTTACTCATTTTTTGAGACAACTTCTCATATAATCCAGGCGGGCATCAAACTTGGCTGTGTAGCCAATGGTGACCTTGAACACAGTTTGCGTGCTGCTGGGGATCAGATCCAGATACTCCACCGACTGAACCAGGTCCTCAGACCCACACGGGTGTTTCTGAATGTGGCTGTAAATGGAGGGACTCCCACTTCATGGTGTAGCTAGGTGTGTGTAATGTTAAATGTGTGTGTGTGTGTGTGTGTGTGTGTGTGTGTGTGAGAGAGAGAGAGAGAGAGAGAGAGAGAGAGAGAGAGAGAGAGAGAG